CGTGGGCTGTCGCGGCCTCCGCCCGCCGGCCCCAGCGGTCGGCAGCGCGCCGGCCATCCTCCTCCGGCCGCCCGGTCCTCGCGCGTCCCCGTCTCGCCACTTTTCGCGAAGCAGCGGACCCCGGACGGCCCCGCCTGCGATCAGGCGCCGCGGAAGACAGCCCTGCAGGCTGCAGGGCCGACGGCAAGGACCTCGGCCGCGCGGCGCGGGGGCGTCGTCTGTGTCTACGGTCGGCGGGGAGCCGGGCCGGCGGCCCGAAGTGACTTCGAGTTGCCGCTGGCGGCTTGGGACGTGGCCCGAAAGGCTCTCACTTTCCTGGCCGGAGCCACCAGCGGTGGTTGCCTGCAGCCCGGGTCAGGCGTCGCTCTCCCGCCCGGCGGGCGAGAGGGTCACGCATGCTGGGACTGGTAGTTCGCACCCGTGAGGCGTGTCCTCTGGCGACCTCAGGGGGAGGCACTCAAGCCTTGTCCTGTCAACGCAGCCTAGGGAGTAGGACCCCGAGTCGTCAAGGTGTCAGCAGTTCTGCTCTCGAATTGATTGAAAAGCCTAATCAAATGCACTTGTTTTCTCATATAAATTTTACCTGAAAGTTAATTGGAAGCGACTAAATCAGGGAGCTCTTAATTTTGCGTCCGCAAGGCGGGTTTTCAGTTCTGGATTCTTTTCCGGCTTGTTCTGGGACACCTATGAGTCGTGGGTCTTCCCGCTGCAAGTGTTTAAGGGGAAAGTGCGCATGCGCCCGCTTCCTCTTTTCCGGCTGGAACCATGGAGGTTGTCGCGTAAGTGGCTTCTCGTTTTCTCGAGGATCCTTCTCCATCTTCAGAACTAGAGGCCTTTTGTCTCTCTTTCTCCGTATCAGAGTGCAGCTTACACCTTTGTCCACTTCTCTGTGTGTTTGTGACGCCCTGTGACAGCAGTGGGAACCTCAGGCTAGGTTGAGATGCAGGCGGCCTTGGGGCGGAGGATTTGGAGATGGAGAACGAAATGGGAGGGCCGAATATGTGCGAAACCGGCCGGTCGGTGGAGGGCCAGTCCTCTGTAGAGGGTCTTTTGAGGCAGGCGCGGAACCTCTGAGTTGGGTTCCTCCTTGGCTGGTACTTGACCCGGGCGTCCCTGCTGCCAGGCCTTGGCTTTCAGCATGTGGCGCTTGAGACCTGAACCAGGGTGTTGGTGGCTTTTTAAAGGAATCCCAGGTTCTTTTTCGCTAAAAACCTGAGGGTCAGTGTCTCGTAGCGGTCTTTTAGTCTAGTATGTTTTGTTACGTAGCTGGGTTTTATTTGTCGTCAGTGGCCGGAACTGATGCTGGAATGGATGTAAGTTTGTTATGCTTGTGATTTCTTTTTAAGTAAGGCATTCCGTGGTAAAGGTTATTGACAGGAAGAAACTACGAAATACGTGTAAATTTAGTGTCATGCTTGTGATTGTCTTTTAAGTGGCCCTTGTTAAAGGTTACTGACCTGGAGAGGATCTAAAACGTGCATAGCACACCATAGTATGTTAGACCAACTGAAGACACCAGAGGTTAGAAAACAGGCGACAGTAGTTAAGTTTAAGTACAAAGTGCTCGGTACAGAACGGGAATAATACAGTGCTGTGAGCTTTTTGAGTTGTCGATAACATTTTGCTTCTTAATGCCAGAGAGAAGAAAAAGAAGGTTCCTGCTGTGCCAGAAACCCTTAAGAAAAAGCGAAGGAATTTCGCGGAGCTGAAGTTAAAGCGCCTGAGAAAGAAGTTTGCCCAAAAAATGGTAAGTAAACTTTTCAAGGCGCTTACCAAGAAGAGCCCTTGTGGTTGAGATTGAGAATGAACAAGACTTGGCTTATTTCACTACTGGACCGAGCAATTAGCTAGCTCTGTAATGTGCCATTCTCAGATGGAGGTAGTGTCTGCTTTTGGAGGTGTTAACTGCATGTTGTGGTAAATGTCTGCTTTTTGGGGTATTAACTGCGTACTGTGGTAAGATGGGTTTTCAAGGGAAGGACTTTTTAAGTAACTCGTATTGGCTAATTGTGATTGGGAACTAAAGATCACAACTTGTAATTGGTTTTCAGCTTCGAAAGGCAAGGAGGAAGCTTATCTATGAAAAAGCTAAGCACTATCACAAAGAATATAGGCAGATGTACAGAACTGAGATTCGAATGGCTAGGATGGCAAGAAAAGCTGGCAACTTCTATGTACCTGCAGAACCCAAATTGGCGTTTGTCATCAGGATCAGAGGGTGAGTTCAATTTTTACTGCATTCGGGTTTGAAAGGGAAGGTTATACAACTCCAGCAAACCTCATTACTTCTAGGAGCCCTGATTCTGAAACATTGGAGTAACTATATTTGGGAAGCTAGAACAAGGGGGTGGTGATCATTTTAATGGTGGTTGCAAGCTCTGTTTTCCAAGCTCCTATCCATTCTTCTAATTAAGCACGGAAGTTCATTGTCCACTGGTAGTCTTAGGTGTTTGTAACTTGAGAAGATTCCTATCTCATCCAGTGGGACCTGTGTGTTGTCCAAACTTATACTGGTTAATTTACTGTCTTTAGTAATATACCGATTAAAGCCAAATGAACTTTTGTGATCTCTTCTCTGCAGTATCAATGGTGTGAGCCCAAAGGTCCGGAAGGTGTTGCAGCTTCTTCGCCTTCGTCAGATCTTCAACGGAACCTTTGTTAAGCTCAACAAGGCTTCGATTAACATGCTGAGGATTGTAGAACCATACATTGCATGGGGGTAGGTCTGGTTTTTTGTTTGTTTGGTAAATTGGCTATGTATCAGCCAGGTGTTGTGGCTCACACCTGTGATTCTAGCACTTTGAGAGGCCAAGGTGGGAAGATCGCCTGAGCTCAATTCAAGACTAACGTGGGCAACATACTGAGATCCCCATCTCGATTTAAAAAAATAATTGGCTGTGTATATAGCAAGATGAGTTTTAGATGTTTTAACAGTCTTATTTGGTTGTTTATGTTTGCTTTTTAAATTTCAGGTACCCAAACCTGAAGTCAGTAAATGAACTAATCTACAAGCGTGGTTATGGCAAAATTAATAAGAAGCGAATTGCCTTGACAGATAATTCTTTGATTGCTCGATCTCTTGGTAGGTTGCATTTGGGGAAAAGCTTGATATTAGATGAAAGTGATAATTTTCTAGTATTTGTCACTATTGTGAATCTTCACATATTCCCTACAATCCTTCATTAAGTCTTAAGGAAAACTTAAAAGTATGGTTTCATTAGCTTGGGTCTTGTCTTTGAAATAAAGCCATACATTGCCTTATGCTAATTCACTCTTGATTTGCTTTTGTCTTAATGGCCTGTAATTGTTCCTTTTGAGGCCAGACACGCTGACTCTAGCCTGTAATCCCAGCTCTTTGGGAGGCCAAGGCGAGAGGATTGCCTGAATCCAGGGATTTGAGAACCAGTCTAGGCAACTTGGCGAGACCTCGTCTCTACAATAAATCAAAAAATTAGCCAGGCATGGTGCCTGTAGTTCCAGCTGCTTGGAAGGCTGAGGTGGAAGGATCGTCTGAGTCTAGCAGGTTGAATCTGCAGTGGCCAAGAGCGTGCCACTGCCCTCCACCCTGGGTGACAGGAATGAGACCTCAACTCAAAAAAGAATTGTTCCTCTTGGGTGCCCTACAGTTTAATAATCACTAAGAAGTCTTTTGCAACCTTAATAATCTTAATATGACTACTTTTTTTAGGTAAATATGGCATCATTTGCATGGAGGATCTGATTCATGAGATTTATACTGTTGGAAAACGTTTCAAAGAAGCCAATAACTTCCTCTGGCCTTTTAAATTATCCTCTCCACGAGGTGGAATGAAGAAAAAGACCACCCATTTTGTAGAAGGTGGGGATGCTGGCAACAGGGAAGACCAGATCAACAGGCTTATCAGAAGGATGAACTAAGGTGAGAGAGGCTGCATCCTGAGAGGTGGTTTTAATATGAGTGCAAAAGTGGCGGTAATCTTGGGTACTTTTTTGATGAAATATTGATGGGGCTTGTTTGAACATTAATGGTTAAAATGGGGGAGGAGAAATTAGCTGCTGTATCTTATATGATTGCAGTTGGTTTAGTTATTCCTTCGATTTGAGGGCATTTTTGGAGAAAAGGGAAAACCCATGTCTATATATTTTATGTCTATATATTTGCTTATTTAAAAATAGAAATTGGCTGTCCTTAAAAGTGTAAATTCATTAACTCTTCATAAATGAATTATGTTAACTTAGCTGCTGGGGTGTTTTTCCAACCTTTTTCTTTTTTCCCTTTCAGGTGTCTGCCTTGATTATTTTTGTTAACTGGTGAGTTAATAATAAACGATGCCTGCTTTCAGATGGAAATATGTTGTATTTGTGATTTTTATTTTTAAAGCCTCTATCTTAATTATTGTGGCAAGTCTTGGTGTGAGATAAACTTAAGTTAGATTCACTTTGTATTATGTGAAACACATCTTTTGGGTTTATTAAAGACTTTTCTTCATAAAAAGGAGATCTTATGTTTTACCTTTGCATTGTGCTAAGTGAGTCAAGATATGGGTTTTATTCTAAGAAAGATTGTTTCATAGACATTTGTACATACAAAAGTTCGGGCTACAAAAAAAGTTATAAAAGTTTGGACTACAAAAAATACTTAGTTGCCAAAACTCCATTTTACAGGCTTTGGCTTACCTGTAAACTACTGTATAAATGAATCATTAGCGTTTTTTTTTGAGTTGGAGTCTAACTCTGTCACCCAGATTGGAGTGCAGTGGCCGCTCCTGGCCACCGCAGCCTCAACCTGCTGGGCTCCAGCGATCCTTCTGTCTCAGCCTTCCAAGTAGCCGGAATTACAGGCATGCACTACCACATCCGGCTGATTTTTTGATTTATTGTAGAGATGAGGTCTCACTGCCCAGGCGGGTCTCGAACCCGCTGGCTCAGGCAATCCACTCACCTCAGCCTCCCAAAGGCGTGGGATTACAGGCTGAGCCACCGAGCCCGGCCTTTTTTTTTTTTTTTTTGAATAGGGATTTCATTTTTCCCAGAATGGAGGGCATTGGCTTTGAAGTTTTTTTGTGGAGATGAGGTCTCGCTATGTTGCCTAGGCTGGTTTAATTTTGAGCATTTTAAGGACTTGGTATTTTGTAAGTAACATTTCCTCTATATTTAGTGTCACCTCATCTATATTAGTGAACTGAGAAATTTTAAGTGTAGAGTGTAACATGAAGTATATACAATAAAAGTAAAAAATGTTGTAGTCCTCATTGATTGTGCCAAGGGGTCTGATGCACTGTGAAAGAAGATCACTACAATCATTTAGAAATAGCTTCTTAATATCTAAAAATTACTAGACAAATATACCCTTAAAAATTAAGTTCTCTGTCCTGGTTTTAGGTCTTTTTCTGGATTGTCAAGTTTGTTTAGGGTCAGAATTTGAGAGAGAAAAATTAAAAACCATATGCTGTATATGTTTATGAAAGTAAAGACAAGGTCTTACAGGCTGATCTCCAACTCCTGGCCTCAAGCAGTCAGGCCTCAGCCTCCTGGAGTAGCTGGGATTACTGGCACCATGCCCAGGGAGTTTAAGTTTTGAAATTTGCTATTTTATTTTACTTCTTTGGTATATAAAAAATTCACTCCCTAGACGTTGCACATTCAGTGTCCTGCTAGATAGTTGTGACTCAGAAGACTTAGAGCCTGTCTGGCTTCCAGGTTTTAGAGGACTAATGAGGGCCATCAGTGACCTTTGCAGGATCAGAATGAAGACTAGTTTTGGTATAAGTTACAGATGGCGTGTTGCACTACAAAGGCATGGGCAGGTGAATGAAATATAGAAAGTCCTCATTGGGATAGAAAGAGGAAAAGGTGCTTCTCTATACAGGATGATACTTAATATCTGAGATTTTTAAAAAATTAACTTTATTCTTAGAGCAGTTTTAGGTTCACAGCAAAATTGAGTGGAAAGTAGAGGGTTCCTACTATGACTCCCCCCACCACCATGTGGTACGTTATAACCCAAATTATCACCTTTTTTTCAGCTGGTGAGGGATAGGAAGATTCTGTAAGGATATCTAGTATGAAGAAATGGACGAAGTATGCTATTGACTACATATCCTTTGCAGACACATTTCTGCTTTCAGTCCTGGAAAATTCAACTCTTGAACATTTATTGTTTGAGTCGGAGTCTCAAACTCAGACTGGAGTGCAGTGGCACTCTCATGGCCACAGCAGCCTTGACCTGCTGGGCTCAGGCAGTCCTGCCTCCGCCTTCTAAGTATCTGGGACTATAGGCGCACGCCACTATGCCCTGTTAATTTTGTGATTTATTGTAATGACAAGGTCTCACCAAGTTGCCCAGTCTGGTATCGAACCCCTAGACTCAAGCAATCCTCTCACCTCTGCCTCCCAAAGTGCTGGGATCACAGGCATGAGCCACCATGCCTGGCTCAACTCTGGAACATTTAAATCACTTTCCAAATAGGACCTGAGGCCAGGATGGGGAAATGTGGGGGAGTTGCAGAGAAGCCAGTATTACCTAGAGAGCGCTCTGACATTCTTGCAGGGGAATTAAGGGACCCTAACTGGTTACAGAGTGAAACTAAATAGGGAAAACTTAACAGCACTGCTGTCAGGTAACAACTCTAGCTATCAGTTTCTGAGGGAATAAAGTGGGGGTAATCAGTCTGACATTATAACAGGATTGTGAGGACTAGTGGCATGCAAATGTTTTGTGAATTGTCAGAACCTATGCAAATGCAGGTTAACACCTTATTTTACAAGGGCTTCTTCACCACAAAGCCCGATCAACCTGGAATCTGGGCACCCAGTGAGTTCCACTTCTACAAAAAATCGTTTCATATGTTACTTCCATTTGTATTCAAAGTTCCAGCATTCCCTAGTAGGTCTTCCCCTAGCTGTACCAGTCTTTGTAAATTTGTCTTGTACTCATAAAGTTACTTTTCTTTGAAGGTTCAATTGTGGGTTGGGTGAAGTGCTGCTGGCTTTGGAACTAAATAGGCTGGGTTCATGTCCAGTCTCCACTTACTAACTTGGGCCAATTAATGTGCCTCAATTTCCTTATCAGCAAAATGGTGGAGGATAATCATGCCTAATTTCATCGGGTTTTATGATAAAATGTTTGAGGTCATGTAAAGTACTTGGAGCAATGCCTGGCTCAAAATGCTCACAATGCTACTATGTAATGTGACTTGAGCACTTAGTGTGAGTGTATGACCTAAATAACAGAAAATAGTCTTGGCTTTTCTGTGTCATTCTAATGGGACAGACAACACTGATACAGTGAAAGGAGTGCTACAGGGATGTGTATGTAGGATGTGACAGCCTCTGGTGTCTGTGGGCCCACCCCTGCAGCAAGATTGACAACCTTCTTCTACTGTTTTCCCTTACAGATTGGTGTCAAAGCAGCCAAAACACTGCTCTCATGAATGTGCCTCCCTCCTGTTGGTAGTGAACTTTAAGGCCAGGTCTTAGTTTACCCCCAGTAAAGTAAGTTTACTGACATAACAGTAGGCAACTTAGTATTAAGTGAATGTATTAGTTGCCTATTGCTATTGTAACATTACCACAAACCTAAGTGACTTAAATCATCTTAACAGTTTTGGAGGTCAGAAGTCTAAAATTGGTTTCTTTCAGAAGGCCTATCTTCTTCTGAAGGCTCTAGAGATACATTTCTTTGCCTTTTCAGTTTCTGGAGGAGCCCCTTGCATTTCTTGGCTTGTGGCATTTCTGCTTCCATCATCTTCCTAGATCTTCCTGCTTACTTCTTGTAAGAAGATGTAATTTCTTGATTATGTTGGGCTACTTGAATAATCCAGGATAATCACCCCATCTCAGCACATCTACAAAGTTCCTTTTTTCCCCACATAATGTAGTATGTTAACAGGGTCCAGGAGTTAGGGCATGGAAATTTGTGAGAGGGCCGTTACTTGATATTTTGACTCCTCAGCTATTTGTGTCCTTCAAAAGACAAACTTCTGATGTAGCATCTTGGCATGTATAACCTTATAACCTTGAGTCTGAACACACAGCCCTCAGGTCTGTGTACTTGGCCTTTTCATTCTGGAAAAAAAGGTCTGTGACATACGTCTTCATGTGACTTTTTTTTCAGTCAGGTTCTCACTGTTGCCCAGGCTGGAGTGCAGTAGTGGCAGAGTCACAGCTCACCACAACTTCAGCCTCCTGAGTAGCTGGGACTACAGGTCTGCGCCACCACACCTGGCTAATTCTTTTGATTATTTTTTTGTAGAGATAAGGGTTCTTGTGTTGTCCAAGCTGGTCTTGAACTCATGGGCTTAAGCAATCCTCTCTCCTCAGTCTCCCAAATTACGGGGATTACAGGCATGAGCCACTGTGCCCAGTCAGACTTGTTTTTCTCTTTTCTGAATAGCATTTCTTACTATCTGAAACCGTCTACTTGTTGCTTTTCCCAGCCACTCCCTAATGTGAGATTTTAGTCTTAGCCCTCTGTTAGCACTTAGTGCTTGGTGCTTTGCAAGCACTTTTTTGATTGAGTGAATCAAACCTCTTTGGGGCAATAGTCATTTAATAATAGTTATTTTATTTTATTTTTTTTGAGTTGGAGTCTCACTCTGTCGCCCAGACTGAAGTGCAGTGGCCGCTCCCGGCCACCGCAACCTCGACCTGCTGGGCTCCAGCGATCCTTCCACCTCAACCTTCCAAGTAGCTGGAACTACAGGCGCGCGCTACCACGCCTGGCTAATTTTTTGATTATTGTAGAGAGGAGGTCTTGCCAAGTTGCCCAGGTGGGTCTCGAACCCGCGGGCTCAGGCAATTCACTCACCTCAGCCTCCCAAAGCATGGGATTACAGGCTGAGCCACCAAGCCCGGCTAATAGTTATTTTAATAGTCATTTAGCAGTTTTAGTTTTCAGTTACTAGCATATTGTAATCCTTGGGTATTTGATGGAGGAATGGTGAAAGGTGGAGTGGGGTCAAAAGTAGGTTTATAGAAATACATGTATATATAATTTACTTTTGAGAACTCAAAATTGCTTTTACTGCACAGGATTAATGGCATGTAATAGAACAGCATACTCGGAGAATAAGGTGTTCATGCTGTGGACACTGGAAAGTTTCACAAAGGAGGCAGAATTTAGCTGGTGATAGAACAGTTTGAGGAAAGGCAGAATCTGGAAAGAGTCAAGTAGGGGTGTGACTGCAAAACTCAAAAGGAGACTATCTAGTAAACATTTGATCACTTACTGGGTGCCCATGTATCCACGTAACACGTAACCCAGGGTCGGTGGTTCTCTGCTTTCCAGTACCAGAAGTAAATTCTTAATTGGTTTTGGGATGGGTCCCAAACCTTTTTCTTAAGTGCTCCATGTGACTTTAAATATGCAGCCTAGTCCTCCTGTAAGTTAACTACTGTCCCCCCCCCCCCTTTTAATGCGTGTTTAACTTTCCCTTGCCCTGCACCAAACAAGTGTTGGGGCCGGTATTAGATCCCAGGTCTAAGTTGAGTGGGTTTCTTTTAAAACCAGAGGAGCTAGGAAAGGTGGGCGTCAAGTTTAACGGGAACTGAGAAGAGTGTTGCAAACAGTTTGAGGAGTCTGAAAGCATATTACCCGGACCAAGCTTGCAGCTCTAGTAGGGGGCTCACCTGCATGCAATATACTCAGCAAATTCTCACATATAACCCACAACTCTTAAAAGGCAGGGAGTGTCGAAATTAATTTGACAAAAGTACAGATGCTGAGATCTTGCTCTCCAAGTCCGAGATATCCCACGCACCCGACAAAGGAAGCCAAACAGTGGAGTCAGAAAATGGAGCTCGGCCTTGTCACCTAAGATGGGGCTAGCCCGGTACAGTATAGTTGGACTCACTTGAAAGATACAGGCTCATCAGTACTCTGGGAAACCTGTTTTTCTCCTTTTGAATCCGAAAAGTAAGTCTTGGGCAGACAACTCAGAAAAGGGAATTACAGCAGCCTTGCCCGACTACCGCCCCAAAAGTGCCATTGGAGCCCCCTCGACTTGTGTAACAACTGACAGCTTCTCGCCCGGCCTTGATTCAGCACATCGCCCCATCCGCGCCTCGCACCTGCACCCCCTGCAGCAGGGCACCCCAGGGCGTGTCGGGGAATCCCAGCGGGCTCGGCGCTTCCCCTTCCGTGGGAAACTGCGCCCGGCCACCTCAGGA